CTGTGTACCAAATTTCAACTTTCAACTCCTAACCGTTTGGCTCATATCCATAATGTATATAGAAGTTTTAATCCTGTCTCTCTCCCCCCGGGGGAGAATTTCGAAAAATCCCTTCTTAGTGTGCGTTTTCGTGACGTACCCTATCTGTGTACCAAATTTCAACTTTCAACTCCTAACCGTTTGGGCTCTGCACTTATTATTATTATCATTATTATTATTATCAACCCGTCTCGATTATATATATAGATTAGGTGTATAAAAAAATATATCTAAGATGTATTAAGAGTTTTGTATTCTTTATTTATTCACCATTTTCATGTCTGAGGTAGTGGAATCTGTGTTGTTTCTTTTTTCACCTGCTTTTGTAAATCCAAATTCTTCCTTGTAATTTGAATTTTCTGTCTGATCTCTTTAGTTTGTTTTACATGTGAATTTCTGAATTGATGTTTGTATGAGCAAGAAGAAGAAATCTTGGAACAAGATTGAAAAAACACAAATATGATCTAAGGCAGATCAGGTGACTACATACTGACTGGGTAGTTATAAAATAAGTATCTTTATTTGTAGCTGTTGGTAGCTTGAAGGAATAACCCAAATGAAACCAAAATTAGTACACTTACTATTTAAGAAGAGGGAAGAAGAATTGAACAAGAAAAAATTGCCTATAGAGGGTGTTACACAGCCTTACGCTTCAGCTGATGATGTAATCAGATGTGTAGCATAGAGATATCTTAGACCTAAGTGCTTTAAAAGATAGCATATTACAACATATGCAGAACATCACTCCTGATATGTTACATTCTGCAGTTGAACACACTGTGCACTGCCTAGAATACTTATATGTATGGTACCATAGTCCAACACAATGGACATATCAGTATTGTGGAACCTGAATCAGATCGTCAACATTATGCAACAGCGTAACCACATTAACTGTGACATTTTTCAATAAATACCAGTATGCCATCAGTTTTTGCACCTTAATTCTTTCTTCTGGTATTATATGCTACATTTCAAACTTTATGATGCTTTCTATCAGCAATTTTTTTTTTTTGTTCTACTCTTCTTTTCCCTTCTTAAATAGTAATTGTACCAATTTTGTTTCATTTGGATTATTCTTTCAAGCTACCGACAGCTCAAAATAGATACATACAAGGTGCGTTCCATAAGTAATGCGACCAAATTCATAAAAAATCGTTTACAGGTAGCTCTCGGTTTACTCCAATTCACAATAATGCCGCTGCACAATTTGCGATTTTGCTGTGTAATTCCCCGATTTTCCCTATTCCACACTGATTTTTGTTTCAGTGTTGACGTATTTACTGAGCCGCAACATTGTACATTCATTAAAACAAAGATTTTTATTGAATATATATATTTTTTCTGTTTAATATTATTGGATATGTATATATTTGCATTAAATTAATATTAAAATACTAAACGTTTAGGTACCCAAGAGTCAAGTTATCAAACTTAATAGTCCAATAAATGGCGTCAGAATCCATAGCGCCATTGAATTTATCCCGTATCAGTTCGTTCAGGAAAACATCTTACAATGCAGTAGCATTTCCGGTGATCACAAACTATCATTAGTGAGACAAATCTACTTCTCGTTGGCC